TCTGCCTTCGACTTCACCTTCTCCATCCCCAAACCACAGGCAAGCAAGGCAGTTTGTTCTCTGTTATTAATCAGACCCTCCACCAAACACTAGAGTCAACACTTCCACAGTTAGGTACCTTCAGTTTGTCTCCTACACCCATATGTAAAAGAGGCTTGATTTGCAGAGGTGCCGAGCACTTACATACTGCCCTGAACTTCACAGGAGTTGTGCATGCTGGGCATCTCTGAAAAATCAGCCCAAACTTTTATGTAGGTGCCTAATTATGGATTTAGGAGCCCAAATGTAGACACTCTTGTTAGAAAATCTTGGCCTAGAGAAGACAGAATAAACCAGCACTAGCAAGAGGGCCTAGTTGTCTTGTCCTAACAGGTCTTTGGCCTTTGGGGCCAGGTTTTCCAGTGGGTGTAAACACACACCGCCTTCCCTGCCAGTCTGTATATTTCTGCTCCGGCTGCATGCAAGGTGGGGCTCCTTACCCCCAGGAACCCGGGGCCTCTGTCCCCGTCAGCGCTAGGCTGCCAGCGCCCTAGAAGAGGAAGCGTGGCTCAGCCCCGAGCCCGGGCACTGTCGTGCGGCTCCCCCTGCCCCTGTGGGATGTGGCAGGGCGGTTTCCTCCCCTAGCTGCGAGGCGGAGCTGGGCAGCCGCACCTACCGAAGAGGGCGTTGGCGAAGCCGTACCACTTGCAGCCGGCCTCGCCCAGGAGCCAGCGGCCCCGCAGGCTGGCGGCCAGGCTGAAGGGGGTCCCGAAGATGCAGACCAGCAGGTCGCTGAGACTGATGTTCAGCAGGATCAGGTTAATGGGGGTCCGGATGGACTCGAACTTCAGGAAGATCAGCAGGACCAGCAGGTTGTTCAGGCAGCCCAGCACCAGGATGATGCCCAGACACACGGCCACCGCGCTGTGCCCCGTGCGCCCCAGGCCCCCCGCCGCCCAGGCCACCAGCGGCCCCTCCAAGCTCAGGTTGCCGGAACCCCCAGCCCAGCTGTGGTTAGTGAGGTTGAGGCTCCGCTCCGCCAGGACCAGCCTCATGTCTGTGGCGCTGCCTGCTCCCCCCTGCGCTCTTCTCCCTTGCGCGGGGGTCTGGTACAGCTGCGCCTTCTTCCCTGAGCGCCCTGCGCCCTTTTCCCTTGCGCGGGAGTCTGGTACAGCTGCGCCTTCTTCCCTGAGCGCCCTGCGCCCTTTTCCCTTGCGCGGGGGTCTGGTACAGCTGCGCCTTCTTCCCTCAGCGCCCTGCGCCCTTCTTCTCTGCGCCAAGGAAGGCTGCAGCTCGCCACCTGGCCCCTTCTAGCCTACAAGGCAGTCAGGTACTGCTGCGCCCTGCGCGCTTCTGCCCAGCGCTGGGCATCTGACACCGCTGCGTCCTTCTCCCTTAGCACACGGCGCGCGTCGCCCAGCCCTTTTCTGCCCTAGGGCCTCAGAAAGGGTCCCCCGGCCACGCGTCTCCTCCAGCTCCTGGTGGGGAGACTGGACTTCTGCACCTTGCGCGCCTCTCCTCATCGCCTGCAGGGCCGAGACCGCTGCGCCCTTCCTTCTGCCCCAACCCCCCGGGAATTGGGGGGGGGTCCAAGACCTCTGCGCACCTCTCCCCTAGCGCCCAAGGGAAGAAGGGGATGCCCCGCGCCGCGGCGCCCTGCGCGCTTCTGCCTAGCACCCGGCTGAGATAGCAGGAGACCCAGCCCGGAGCTAGCGGGGCTGCGCGGCGGTGGCTGGCTCAGAAGTCCTAGGCGCTGGCTGCTTTATATCTTAGCGGGTGCTCGCTACTGCCAAGATGCACCGTGGAAGCAGGCGGAGAAACTCCTCGGGGCGGGAATGGGGGCCCCTGTCTCCGGCCAGGGGGAGGCACAGAGCCCCGGCCCCCGGGGCATCCCGCCCTCAGAGAACTCCCCTGTCTCGCGGCAGGGACCTGCCTGGGCTGCCCTGGCGCAGCAGAGGATCTGGAGGGATTTCTCCCACCTCTCTGCGCGCAAGCGTCCATCACTCCGGCCCCTGGGCTCAGGTGGCCCTCGGCCTCCGCCCTTCCCGGGCTCAAACGTCGGCAAAACAGAATAGCGATGGAAGGAGCCGCAAACACTGGAGCAATCCTGCCTGCTCGGACACATGCGGACACCAGTCTGCGCTGCCAGGTGCTGGTATGGAGCGAGTGGAGCTTGGAGCCTTCAGCGGGCTTTCGCCGGCGGATGTGGGGTTCCTTGGGCGCTCTCCCCCGGGCGGGCGGGCAGGCGATCCGTGGGGCTTGAGACCCTAGCCTAGGAAATAGTTTCCCTGCCAGAGGGAAAGAGCTTAGCAACTTTACACACTCTGAGTCCAGGGCACTACTCGTGTGTGCAAGGTTATTAAACTGTTTGCACGATTGGGATCTTAACTAGTAACTTGAGCAGATCGGAGCGTGAAATAAACCAGCGCATGTTTGGTGAAATGTAAATTGTAATGTATTCTGGGGTTTCCCTTAGCCTGGAGGTCAGGAAGGTGAACTCAGGGGAAGGTGCCACGTGCGAGTTCTTTGCCCTTCACATGTGGGGTTTACAGTGGGGTCAGCACTGCCCGGCCAGAGAGATACTTCTCTCCATCCTGTAGGATACTGTATCTGAGGCTACCAGAGCGGTGAGGGAGTAGAGAAAAGGGAATCTGGGTCTGTCTGATTCTCCTCTCCGTTACTCTGGTGAAAATCAGAGGTGATGCCATCCCCGTGTAAAACCAGTTTGAGAGCGGAATCAAGGCCACTATTTTTGCATTTGCTTGATTCAGAATTAGGAGCCAAACTTTGCTACACTGGGTTAGCTCCAGTGAAGTCAGCAGAGTTATGTTATGTTTTCACTAGCTTTATCGAGGGCAAAACTCCACTGTAGACTGGGAAGGAAAGATAGCATTAGAGCTCAACCAGGGACTGAGGTCAGGGGAGTGCTGAGTGGGGGAGACAAAGGGAATACATTTTTTTTGAACTGTGACTTTCAAAAGTTCTTGCCCGTTTTTTCCTTTACTGGAACCGGGCATAGTATAGAATAGGACACAATATGATTTAAGATTGCAAGTGAGGAAGTGCAGAATGATTTGGGCGTGGGGGGGGTGGGAATGACAGATTATTCTTTTGAGGCAGACGTGTCCATGTACTCCTAGTTCTGGCTAACTTGAATACATCAGCCCTTGGATGTATTATGAGTGGGTCAATGGGAGTTTTTCCCGTTGATTTTCTAATAGGAGTTGGATCAGGTTCTTTGTAAGGTGCATGCTGGTAAGGGAAAGGCAAACAGACTGTCTACTGGCACAAAGAATGGATCTGATGCTAAATTCCTTTTGCACCCAAAACTCCCATGAATTTGAGAACTTTTGAGTATGCAAGGAATGCAGGATCGAACTCTGTGTTTGCAATCCAAACACTGAGGCATGATGGTACTGTAGGAAAACCTAGGATCTGATTATGCAGTCAGTTAAGTTGACTAGAAAGTGTAAAAACAGTGAAAGGGACTAATCTATTTTCCTTGTCCTAGCTGAGAGCGAAAAATAAACAATGAATAGTGAAAAGCGGTTTAAAGTTTTCAAGTTTAATAATCTTCTGAAAGGTGTGATTTGGAACATAATACATGTTAAACTTGACTGTGTCAGTTTAACTATCTACGGTGATTATTTAAGTTCAGATGTTTCAAGCTACAGCTTGGGCAGTGATCCTGCTCGTGCCCTGGGCATGTGCTTGGCTGCACCTGTGAGGAGTTCTGTGCAGGACTGGGGTCTAAAAATGTACTAACATTCATACAAATGATGATGGGAACCCTAAATATACCCTAATGATCTAGAGTATTTGATCCTGCAGCCTGTATGAACACTGAAATTAATACACCTTGGTGATACCTGTAGTGTTTTATAATGTGTAATTGTCTCATTGGACCTGTTCTTGTAATTGATATTGTTGTTCACTCCAATGAAGCAGTCCCACAGGTGTAAAGTTGCAGGATTGAGTCCAGTAAGGTGATCCTACATCTCCATCTCTCCCTCAGTACCCTCATTTGTAAAGTGGGGGTACCAGTGCCCCTCATAGAGGTGTTGCAAGGTTTAATTAGCTCACTGTAAAGCACTTTGAAAATAAGTCTTGCTATTATTACCTCCTGCCATGAGTTTTAATTGTATTACCACTAAACAGAATGTGCCTCTATTAGCGATTTCACTGATGTGGTCCACTGCCTGCCTGATGATCTGGGAAAACTAAGAGCCACTGGAAGGAGAAGAAAACACACACATAGACCACAGATCCCTAAAATAAACAAGCTGTCTTGATTTTCTGAAAGAGCATCCCTTCCAAAAGATGGGTCATGTAGCTGGAGCTCGTCCTGTGTCTCTTGAGAGTGACAGGAGCCAGACTGGTTGTATGATGATTAGATGAAGCCAGATTGATTTTAGGAGGTTGTATGTCAGGGCTCATGTCAGTTTCTTAGAATGATCACACACTGAATTCAGTTCTTGGAAAGTCTGCCTGCTTTAAGGTTGTAAGCACTTATAAACATGCCCCCACTCACACTGAGCCAGGCCACCGTTTCACTTCAGCCCGGGGAGGGGCACATTGCATGTTCCCAGTGAGGCTGCCTCAGGGGGAGCAATAGTAGAAAATACACCAGCCCCCAATGTGTGTGGTGTTCAGTTATCCCCAGGAAATGGTCATTGTCAGATCCCTTTATTGCCATTGTCCCAAAGGTGTCTGAGAAGGCTACGCTTTCCTTCCATCATTAAAATGACGATCGCTGTCTGGGAGCTGACCTCTGGGTGACATCCGACGTGTATACTTTTGAAAGCAATGTTTGATCGTTTAGCGATTCTTATTGTAACCCAATTGTACCTGCTGCTTCAAAAGCAAAGCGTTTTGAGAGCAAAGAGATCTTCTCCAGAGAAAAGTACCGAGCAGCAGGTGAGTATCTTGCTGTGTTACACCTGTGCAGATCTTAGCTGCAGGCACTTTAATTACAAAAAGCAGTGAGTAAAAGAAACAGATGAGAAGAGCAGGAGGAAAAAAGAAGAATGCCATACATGTGGTTAGACAGATCTGCTTTAGACACTAATCACTTAAACAGAGCCATTACCAATTTGGGGGGGGAGAAAGGACAAATAAAGCTCAGGAGTGATGGTGGAGAAAGGCTGGTCTTGTGCCTAAGGTATGTGGCTGTGAGTTAAGAGATTTCCTTCCTGGTTCTGTTACAGACTTTCTGGGTTACTTGCAAGTCACTTCATTGCTGTGGCCCAACATTGTCAGGACAGGACTGTTTGGGAGAGAAACTGCAAGTAGCATTGTGGAGATTCCCTTGCATTGTTCTGTCAGAGAGGGAGGAGGTGGCCTTATGCAAGAAAGTCACTCCCAGACCTGGCCAGTCCCCACCATCTACAAAACACCAATGTCAGCTCTGGTTATTATTCCATTTGACCTATTGCAGTCTTCCTGCTCCCAACTAGGCCAGTAATCTGCCCCGTTCAGAGACCTGGCATTCCGTTAGTTTGACATTGCTAAGTCCCTTGTTTGTTTTCCCCCCGGTGTTCAAGTTAGTAAATTTAGCAGAGATTTCCTCGGTGTTGTTTGTCACAGATGGGATGGTTTCCACAGCAGAAAGTATCTTCTTTGGTTAATTGGCTCCTGCGATGCTGGGACAGAGAACTCCTCCAGCTGAGGGTTGGTAGGTGCAGCTGCCTGTGTGGTGTCCCTCTGTTTGAAGAAGATCCAATGATGCGAGTGAGAGTGGTAACACCACATTCCACATCTTTGGGGGTTCTGATGGTCTATTTTCTTTCTATTGTTCAGGGTAAAACCTTACGTTGAGGAAGCAGGAGCTCCTGATTCACTCTTGCACTCTGCTCCCTGCTCCAGCCCTGTCCCTGCACTTCAAAGGTTAACTGACTTTGTAATCGGTCATTGGTGGCAATGATTTTAAACGTAGTTTGTGTCCACACGCAACCCCATGTGTTTAAAAAACCATGAGAGTGGCTTAAACATTAGGAGACTTTAAATAATACACCTTGGGTTAGGATGATTTGCCTTCTGGTTTTGTACCTCTAGAGTTCACCTTTTCAAGCTTTTCTCCTCAGCTATGAAGGTGAGTAATGCTTTGCTTTAAAAAAAAAAAGCCAGGTTTTCCCATAGTAACTTAAGCTCTTAGGGGCAGGGATTCTTTTTTTTTTTTTGGTCTGTGTTTGGGCAGTGCCTAGCACAATGGGGTCCTGGCCAATGACCAGGACTTCTCGGTGTTACTGCAATACAAATAATTAATAATAA